ATATGATTGCCTATTTTGGCAGCGTGTGACTACTTTTTTGTTTACTCTGGATATATTTGGACCTACTCGCCACACTGACCATGTTACCCAATCATACTGACAGTCTTAATCATGTGACTGCCCTTTTTTTTCGCCATCACTGACTCATTAGGGTAATAATACACTTCCATCTAAATCTGATTTTTGGCGGAAATTTTTTTCGCAATACATACTGTATATATAATAGTATAAATAATACTTAACCAAAAAAATTCGTGTTTGCGTTTGCCCCAGCAATTCGATTATTGCTGATAAGGCTTATTTAGATTAAGAGTCTTCTCAGATTCTTATGCAGTGTAAGCAAGCTGATGTGATTTACTGTACGTATAAATTATCGCCAGAAGACGTTCGAAATGTATCAATGCTGAAAATGAAAAAACAAGAAAAAGGAAGGAAATTATCGCCAGAAGACGTTCGAAATGTATCAATGCTGAAAATGAAAAGACAAGAAAAAAAAAAGATATCAAATGTATGCATTATTATTATACAATGTTATGTGTATGATTCATATTGATGGACTCTTTTTTAGCAAGCAAAGAAATTTTGGGAACAGAAAGGCGGTGAATGTCAAAAAGACGTCAATAATTATTTTAGTACTGTATGCAAAAATCAGTGGAACAAAGAAAAATTAGTCCAATACCTGGAGACGCTCTACCCAAAAAATAAAGAAGTGTTTGCAAAAGACAGATTGCACAACTTAATCAAGCACGCAGACGTAATAATAAACGAAGAACACTCCTTCAAAGCATTTATATCTACCCAAAATATATCTGGTCAGTGATTGACATTATTAGTATATGTCTGTCTAAATAAAGTAACATTTTCCTCTTTTGCAGACGCAAGTACGCAGCGGCAACAAGAAGAACTAGAATTACTCGAAAACAATACGCAGCAGGAACTACTCGCAAACAATACGCAGCAGGAACTACTCGCAAACAATACACAGCAGCAACAAGAAGAACTAGAACTACTCGAAAACAATACGCAGCAGGAACTACTCGCAAACAATACGCAGCGGCAACAAGAACTAAATTTACTACTCGCAAAAATTCCAGTTTTTATAAAAAACGGGCTTAACAGGCTGTTTCCTAGAACTAACAGTGACATTTACGAGCTTTTACTCGCAGAAAAACTTCACGAATATGATGTCGATAATTTGAGATTATATGCAAATAGTGAAAGAGCGGTAAGTAATGTCATACAATAGGTTTTACCAATTTAGCAACTATATTAACTTTTGAACACAAACAGTGGGACACCAACGACGCAATTTGCTTTAACGAAAGTCTCTGGTACCTAAGATCCGCCCTATTAATATATTATCAAAAACCTACATTAAAGAATGAATGGGACCTCAAAAGTTCAAAGGATGACTGGAATGACAAACAAAACCAAAAAATCGCCAACGAATTTGAGCGTCTATATAAGCAAGGAGAAGATAAAAACATAAGTTTCAATGTGAATCGTTATTATTCTAATGATGCTGTGGAAACTTCAAAACCAATACGTAGTTGTTGGAATTCTTTGTATAATTTTTATATTAACAAGAGTTGGGAGAAGCAGAGTTCTACTTGGGAGAAGAGTAGAAATACTAGACAAGATAAATTATATAGGTGTATTAATCGTATAAATATTTTTGTGACAGCATTTGATCATACTGTAGTGAAAAGCTATAGGGTAACGTTAGATGGTCGTTTAGATAGTTGTGAACTCAAAGTTGAAGATTTTATGAGGGAAGACGAAAGCGATAATATTGATAATGCTATGCGCGAATGTCTTGTGTTTATTAAATCATTCGTAAAATTTTGTCAAAACTAATAATAATAAAAGTAATTCTGATATCGATTCTATATAAACCTTAACGTACAAAATGTCAAGCAAAGATTACAGGGGGCTTTGGGAGACTAAAAGTTTTCATATTATTCATTTAATTCATTAATAAGTAAACCAATACCTCTTAATAATAAGCTCACCATTTTTGTCTTTAACTTCTGTTTTGACAACCAGAGCAGACTGATATAAAGGTGGTACTTTTGCTATATAATAAACAGCGAGCTTCCATATTCTCTTACTTAAATCCCTGAATACATCTACATTCAACCGAATTTTTTGAAATTTATCAATACTGATAATGTTGGCCAGCATTACTGCACGTTGCGTAGATAGACAAAGTTTCCGCACGGTGTGCGGCTGCAATCCCGTTATATTAAGATCCTTCACTAAATCCCCTCATAATGTACGGATTGCCTAGCTCAGTATTAACAAACGGCCGTATACAGACTTGATTTCAAAGTTAGGGATCAGTTCCTTGTATATCTTCAAATCTTCTTTTTCGGTTTCTCCTTCAGTCAGTAAATCAACTTGATCTCCATCCGTCGCTATCAAGAACCGATTGCACATGTATCCAGCCATGAGAAAACACTTATTTCTTTGTTCCCATTGAATGTCGGTCCATGTAGAAAGGACATGAGCCCGAGTTTCATTAATATAATATCGCAGCCGTTCTACTGATAGTTCTGTATTGGGAAAACCAGGTTTTACAAGGACGTCCTTTATTTCTGTCACTGTTTAACTTCTGTGATTAGTTTGTCCCAGTTTATGGAATCTGTGGTGTTTAGTACACATTCGTCTCCCACTAAACGACCAACCTCCATGAGTATCGATGGAAAATGTTTGCTGGGGCCTCTGGGGCAGTGTAACATTGTACCAATAATATTTGTTCACGAAAGGATGACACCAAACTTGTCTGACAGTTGATAAGTGAACAACAATCACGAAAGGATGACACCAAACCTTGATAACCAGCCAACTCCAAAGTGTCTAGTGAGTTTGGATCGAGTTCTCGCAGCAGAATACTCTTGCTTTATCCGTCTGCAATGCAAGCAGCGATCTCCTCTCTCTCAAGATATATCGTAATGCGAAACAATTCTCAGATTAGAAGAGTTCCTGAAAGGATAACACAGGTGCTTATCCGGGAAATCGCGGAATAAAAAAACAACCTTTTTTGTGAATAACAATAAAAAGTCTTTTTACTATTGACCGGAAAATTTTTTCCTGAGAAATGAACGGAGTAACTTGGCTCCGAAAGGCAATCTGGGGATTATTGAGTTTTCTAAAATAGTAAAATAGTACGTATTACTGATAAGGTATGCGCAAAAACAAAATTTATCTGTCTGAAGCTTTAATTAGGATATTCCGCCGCCTTTTGTTACGGAGCAGTTGACGCTCGCAACGTCCTGATAATGTCGATAACGTCAAAAAAATTTCCAAGGGGAGGGTTGTATCTAAGGAATTTGCCGTGCGTCGTGACAGCTTTGTTTGCTCAATAAGCGCGAAAGTCTGACAAGGGAGGTTATTTACCCATAACTTGGTATATCAGATAACGAATTATTGTGCTTACATCCATCAGGCATTTTACGTAGCGCCCGAGGGGCAGTGTTACATCAGCATCATGAAAACCTTCCTTAAAACAGGATAGTGCATTCGCAAACATACTAAATTTTAGTTATGGGAATACCCAAAGTATATAGAGGTTTCGGCTATTACTATTGCTATTTTGGATATTGTTCTAGTATTCTTTTTTTATATAGATTTCTGTCTGACATCGACGTGATATATTATTTTTGATTATGCGCGGATATACAAATTTATTGTTGTATTCGGATAACACTTCCTCAAAGCTGTTTGTTTGTCTTGAAGATAGTTCATATACGCATTGGTTGAGACGTATACCTGCAGGAGCAAAATGATTACTAAATAATTGATATTCACCATAATTCAGTGTATCATTACCTGCATACAGACTACTGCCGCCATCACTAAAAAGTAATGATAATTATCTTTGTTTACATCCCATGGAGAACAAGAGCTTGCACTGGAGAGAAGAATCTGAAATATAGGTCAAGTGAATGGTCTCAATCTTACGTATAAAGATCAATCAGCATAATGACGTAATAGAGACATTACATAAATAGATTCAGGTTGAATAAAGACGGATTCCACATGCTTAATTCCCATACGAGATTCTCGTCGGTTTGTTGATGCGTTGATTTGAAATATTGCATGGCTAATGTTCTATTTCATTTAAATAAATTGTGAGCATATGGCGCCCACAATAATGTGAATTGATGTGATAGCAAAAAAATCTTACAGAAAAGCTCCCAATCCGGAGTAAGTCCATTCTGGACCTATTTGATTCTTATCGACAAGTGCAACTGTTGTTACATAGTTATGGCGTCGATCACACCACGTGGCAAAATTTGACCACACCACATCCTCATCACGCCACATGGATCGTCGTAACTATTACCTTATCATTTGTGGCAGAACATTCTGGGTCATTGCAGGGCATTCGATATGCTACTCGTCACCACTAGTGTGGCAGAATTTTGATCACACCACATCGGATCATCATCGCAGAACTTTCGACATACTACTCGCCGCTACTTAGAATTTTGATACTGCTTATCTGCATATTTTTTTATCATACAAAAATATTATAACTATACTACTATTACACCAGTTACAATGCAATTATGTAATTTATTTTCATTTTTTTCAAATTTAAGACAATCGTAATAAATTTATTTGTGGCAATCACTTTTGTCAGGTGAGTAAACATGCAATCAAATTTTGTCAATTGGGCATACGAATCGTGGGAACACTTTTGTCAGGTGACTGTGCACAAAAAAGTATAAAATAAACTTCGCCCTGGGAATAGAATTCAATGAAATTCAATGAAATTAAATTAAATGAAATGAAATGAATAGAATAGAATAGAGAAAACAGTATAGATATAAAATTGACCCCCAACTTTACTGCATGAGGCTAACCATTTGGAGCGAAAAATCAGCTTAATACGGACTAGCACAGAAAAATGACCAATTGTTGATATCAAATGAGATCAGCTGACCGATGAAAGCATTGAAGCAAAAGTATAATAACGTTAAAAGTCAGTAGTTAAAGAAAAAAACAAAGGTAGTTAAGGTAATAATAGTAACGGAAGAGTGTGTTATGATAATATTATTAAAAACGTCGAACAACTATTTTTGATTAGCTAATTTGCGAGAGGCTAACTCTCGTAGAGTTGACCGCCTTGATTTAGATGCTTTCTGATTAGTATTTGATGATGGGTTTTCAATCAGTTCGTCGTTCAACATGATTGGTCTGAACTGATTGGCTCGAATCTTTTTCGTTTGTTGTGGGTTTATCAAGGCGTGGTTTTTTTGTTGGTGAGGTATTTTGTGCAATGCTCCGGGACAATTGTTGCACGGCGGGATTGGGAAGGGACAATTGTACTGTTTTTGTCCGTTGATGGCGAAGAGTATTTGGGTATAACGAAAGTGGGGTTTTGTATTTCGCAATAGATCGCAATTCTACTGCACCTTCGATTTTAATGTGGGTGCCGGAATTGTAAACTTTTGTTCGAATTAGGAGACGTGTGTTTTTTGTGGAGTGGAAGGCTGTCACCGTAAAGGGTTGATATGTACTTCTCGTATTAGTTTTGACGTATTGCGAAAGACTTACGTCAAACGATGCGGTTGTTTCTGTTATGTTTGGGGCACCAGTAA